TGTGAAGGGCAAAGCTGGTAGGTGGGAATGCTGGATGACTAAAGAAATTGAGGTTTTGGTCAAGAAAAAGAAGGAAGCGTATGTCCGGTATAGATAGCAGGGATTGAGTGAATCCGTAGAAGAGTATAAAGGCAATAGAAGTATACTTGAGAGGGAAGTCGGGAGGGCAGAAAGGGGACATGAAATAGTGTGGCTCACTGGTTAACACTGTTGCCTCACAGTGCCAGGGACCCGAGTTTGAATCCAAACTTGGGTGACTGACTGTCTGCTTGGAGTTTACACATTCTCCTATGTCGGTGTGGGTTTCCTTTGGGTGCTCCGATTTCCTTCCACAGTCCAAAGATGTGCAGGTTAGGTGGATTGGCCATGGGAAATGTGGTGTTATAGGATAGGGTGTTGGGTTTGGATGGGATGCTCTTCAGAGGAGCAGTGTGGATTTGATGGGCCGAATTGCCTGCTTCCATGCTGTAGAGATTCTATGATTCTATGAAATAGGGTTAAGGAGATCCCAAAGAGATTCTACAAGTATATTAAGGGCAAAAGAGTAGCTAGGGAGAAAATAGATCAATGAGGCCATCTATTTGTGGAACCACAAGAGGATTCCATGTACTCAAACCTTGCTAATCAATCTACCGTGCGGAATCTTGTCAAATACTTTTCTGAAGTCCATAAAGACAACTTCTATCGCACTGCCTTCATCAATCATCTTGTCACCTCTTCAAAAAAATGTCAGTCATGTCAATGAGACATGACTTCCCATGTACAAAGCCGTGTGGACGATCCCTGATTAGTCCTTGCCTTTCCAAATGCATGTAAATCCTGTCCCTCAGAAACCCCTCAAACTTACCCACCACTGAGGTCAGGCTCCTTGCCTTTTTAAAAATAATGGCACCACGTTAGTTACCCTCCAGTCTTCTGGCAGCTCACCTGTGGCAGTCAATGATACAAACATCTCGCTAAGAGGCCCAGCAATCACTTCCCTAGCTTCCCACAAAGTTCCAGAAGACGCCTGATCAGATCCTGGGGATTTGTCTACCTTTATGCATTTTAAGACCTGCAGCACCTCTTCTTCTGTAAAAATGGGCACTTTTCAAGATATCATTATTTTTGTCCCAAGTTCCCTAGCTTCTATGTCCTTTTCCACAGTAAATACTGACACTAAATATTCATTTAGTATCGCACCCAGAAAATTAATATTTTTAAGGTAAAGGCAATCTTGTTGAGCATGAATTAAAAGGTTATCCAGACCAGATGAGACTGTGGATTTATGGTTATGATCATCGGACACGATTTCATTAAATGATGGAGCAGGCTTGAGGTGCTGAATATCCTGCTCCTTGCTTGTATGTGATGATCATTTGATTATTTTTCAGGCCATTCTGTACATTGATTCATCTTGTTATTTTTGGCAATATATACAAAGCTCTGCCTCTTCTAGGAGGGATATCACTTAGCAAGCTGCTATCTGCAAAAATGACCCTGAGCTTCCAGGGTCTGCCATTTCAACACTGACCTGCTCAGTTTTTCCAGCAATTTCTAATTTTGTTGTCAGTGAGTGCTTTATTGTATTCTCACGTGGGTTTTTTGGGTCTTAGTACAAGCTGAGATCAGACTTCTCAATACATGTTGAAACTATGTTTGCTTTACACTACACTGCACATGATGGTAATACTATATGGTAACGTGCTACATATTGTATAGGATCCAACTTAGTAGAACACTGACACTTGATTACTGAGATTGCAGTCACATCTCAGCTTACTCGGAGGTTCATCTATAAATTCATTTAAACTGCATCTCCATGTCAATGTTAATTCAACTTCTGAGAAACTTCTGAGAAGATTCCTTACGAAATATGTTCCAATTTTCTTGGCTTGGAACTTTAGTAGACAGGTATTGGAAACCTTCACAGAATGTCATCCAGTTTATTTAGATTAATGCTTATGCTTCTGGAGCTGCTGAGGTAAGGCCTCTCAAAATGGAATGTAATTATAATCTGAGCATGGCAGTTCCACTCATGGAATGTCTTGGACCTGAACTGGATTTGTTGAACTGTCCCTTGTTTTGGAACTCATGTGTGGGGCATTGTTTTAAGAGATAATTTAAAGTTGCATAACTGCTCAAAGTGGTCAAAACTGCCACAGTGCAGACACCCTATGCTGGACAGTTATCACCTCTGATGTTCTTTGATCCACAATGTCAACACTTCAAAATGGTGCCTGCTGTCTTTTTATTTTTTTTTGGCAGGTTTGCTGTTCAACAAGGCAGCCACCTCTTGGGCTTAGCTCTTAACATGTGTACAAGATGATGAGAGGCATAGATAGAGTGGATAATCAGAGACTTTTTCCCAGGACGGAAATCTCTATTACGAGGGTGCATAATTTTAAGGTGATTGGAGGAATAGGGTAGATGTCAGAGGTATGTTGTTCACGCAGAGAGTGGTGGGCATGTGGAATGCGCTGCCGGCAGTGGTAGTGAAGTCAGATACTTTAGAGACTTTTAAGCGACTCTTGGTTAGGCACATGGAGGATAGTAAAATGTAGGATAGATTGATCTTAGTAGGATAATAGGTTGGCACAACACCATGGGCTGAAGGGCCTGTACTGTTCTATGTTCTATGCACAAACTTGGCTTTGCATGGAACTGCCCCCAGATTGCCTTGTAGCTAGATCACTCTTGCGCCGTGGTTGCTTAATCTTGCCTAATGATTGAATAGAGTAGGCACGTGTGAAGATGCAAAAATATCTTTTAAAATCATACCAGAACTGAGAAGTTATAATTTATCGAAAGCAGCTGGTGATTTTTCTTGTTTCTCTGGGTAAAAGAAATCTGAAAGAGGTCTTCAGCATTGCGGAAGTATTGTTAAGTTAAATGTAGAGATGTTGCTATTTGTTGTTGAGACTAGATCAAGGGATCATGAATATAAAGTAGTCATTACTGCTTGTGTTCTGTTCTCGAAGTTTGGTTCTTAGTGATTATTCAGGAATCCAAGGAGAAATGCCTTTTTTCAGTATGAATAGTTTGAAGCGGCAAGCCCCAAGACGACTACAGCCAGAACAGGGACCAAATCGTAACACTAATCTGATCCATGTGCTAGCCATATAGCCAAGTAAGCTGTAAAATTTCATGATAACAGCTTCTGTTATTGCAGTGATATCAGACCTAGTGGAAGCCTGCAGTGATTGAATGCAAAAAAAGTCATTTAAGGCTTTGAGACTACTTGAGAGCCTAAATAGTGCAGAGACTGACAGTTCAGGAATGCTGATGTGCTAAATAGCACAAAGCACAATGAAGAAGGTAATCTGATTTTGATATTGATTTGTTGATCTATAATAAATGGAAAATCGATGTTTTACAGTGGTAAGAGGAAATCTACTTGCCTCCGATATTCTACAACTGGTCTAGGTAGATGCATGTCTCAGCAGCTGAAGGATGATACTGAGATAATATTGTTTTATAATCTCTCATTTCATTTACTCTTCTTTTATCTATCACTTAGCATATTGTCAACTATGTTACCAATTATAAATTTGTCTTTGCAATCGAATGTGTGGATTTGGCACATTAATGAACATTATTTGGTACTTGTGGTTGTAAAACACCAATCAGTAACCCTTAATTCAGTCATGTAAGCATTGCTGTGTGACCATGGAGAAACCATGCAGGTGAAATAAGTGTATTGGCTCAGCTATTCTCTATGCATAAACAACTGTACTAAGTGCATGTGGGAAAGTTTGAAATTGCAGGAAATGCAGAACAGCAAAGGAAACTACTTTACACAATGCAGTTTAAGAAAACAGTATGCTGGGCAGCTTCAACCATGCCACACCTCTTACTCACTTGGGCTCACCAATTTTTTGTGTATTTTGCGCTGTATCAATTTGATCTCTTCTGTTTTCTCCTCCATGAAAGAACTGAGGTAAAGAATGAGATCTTGTATGCAGCACAGGCGGGGGAGATCATGTGGCTTGCATGGCTACTGCAAGGATGAAAGGTCTTAAGTGGACAGTGTCTTGCAATTTTCCCCTGTTTGGGTGATGGCTTAATCATTTGTATTTGGAGGATGAAATATGTTGAAAGAATGAAGAAGACCATACAGAAGGTAAGCAATCTAACATTACCTACCTGAGTAGGGTCTTCAGCATTCTTCAAGTTAAGTTCTCTGCATGTCAAACTCTTAACCTGTCCTCTGTTATCTGATATGTGATTGAGAATTTATACTCTTCACATTTTCTCCTGAAATCAAAGGCAACTTTTTGAGTCCGCAGTCATTATAGGCAGCCTCACTCCCACCCAACTGATAAAAATGCCCTTTTAACAGTCCCATTATATTTAAATATGCATCCTCTGTGAACCCTCAATGTTCTATAAAGCTAAGATAGGGGTGGTTTATACACCGGATTTTACAGTATTACCTTGGGTAATATCTGTAGGGAGGTGAATAGTTATCCCATTGTATGTTAACGAAGTTTATTATCAGATTTTTTTTTCTTTTATTGTCTGTACGTTTTTTGAATAATGAGTGGAAATTGCATTTTGCTGTTTAGTAAGTGAATTATAATTGTCAGAGGTAAAAAATAATATATCTGAATGTGGTATTAATACCCATTATGATGTCATTACAGTTACAAGTAGGCCTTGTTCTCTAGGGTACTACATTGGTTGTTATGTGCTTCAAGCAGGGAGAAGGAAACACTCCATTAACAAGTGGGCGATGAAACCAAGAAAGAATGGAGAGAACAGTACACTTTGCCCCCTGAAGTTGAAAGCTGTGATCTCCATTTTAATTTTGAGTTTTCTGTCGAGCAAAAGTTGCTAGGCTAAAAACAAAAATTTATGTATTCCTCTCACACCAGTGCAATGGATAAAGAAGGAATTGGCAGAAAAGAGGCTGTACACATTATCCAATACGTGGATTTTAACAATTTTTTAAAAAATACTTTGTCATTTGTTTTTAACTGATTCAATATATAAACTCCACTTTCTTTTTTCTTTTGAAGAGACCAATCCGAACATTTGCTAATGATGACCGACATGTTATGGCAAAACATTCCTCGGTGTATCCTTCCCAAGAGGAGCTTGAGGCTGTACAGAATATGGTTTCAACAGTTGAATGTGCATTGAAACATGTATCGGACTATTTGGATGAAACTAATCTGCAGTCCAATAATGTGGATGCCAGTGAAGATGGAGCAACAGATGTGAAGAAAAGTAGCATTTCAGAGAGCAATACAAAGTGAGCTTCTTGCCAATAATCCTGAAGGGTGATGCAGTGTTTTCTTAGAGAAGGACTTTTGAAATTGATTCTCCTTTCAGCTTCTGTGAGAGTGTGTTCTGCTGACTTTTCATCAGATTTTTGCTGACGTTATTTGTCAGTTAATTCCTAGCACATTGCAGTTGCAAGATGTGTTCAACATTTGGTTAAGTAGATTCTGTAGCCCACAGATTTTAATGAAAATGTCTCACTTGCAGAAGTGTGAAATCATTTTAAGTTGTGGCAAACAAAATTACATTGCGCCCTTTAACTTAGAACTTTACTTGATATTTTTATGGCCATAGTTTCCAAATTTACCTTCCAGTCCAATTAGAAATACTAGAAGTAAGTAACTGGTCTGGTTCTGGGAAATGGAGCTTTTTAGAAAGCCTTGATCACTATATTAGTAGGTTTAGAACAATTATGGAAAGCTACAGGATATTAGTAGGTTTAGAACAATTCTGGAAAGCTACAGGGATCAAAGGTAAAGAAGCACAACTAAGCACTAATTTCAGTTGAAAAAAGCGTCTGGCTCAGGTGAGTTCTAAGCCGAAAATTCTGTACCTTAATGCTGCTCAATGCTCACTGAAGCCCGTACTTCAACCTCTCAGCCCCCCTCCAAAACAGCTGCTCCCGCTAGAGCTCGCCTTCCTTTTATATGCTGCCACGAGGAAGGGAAATCTTCTCCCAGAATTCTTCTCAATCACTTCCCAATACTGTCGTTTGTTGGATGCTCTTCCTCTGTTGAGCCAGGTCCTTTGCGATCCCATTCTAAATTGTAGTGACCAAGCAGACTTTTAGAATCCTACTGAGTCACTCTTCACTATTGGCCTCTGGTGAAGCTGGTGCAGTTGATGTCATTTATATGGTCTTTGAGAAGGTGCTCAACAAAGACCCACGAGATAGCAAAATCGAAGCCCAGGAGATTAATAAGCACTAGCAGCATGGATATAAAATGGAATATGAGACAAACAGCAGAGAATGGTGTTATGTGTTGTTTTTTTTTTCTGAACTTAAGAGCAAAATACAGTAATGTCCCCAGGGTTTGGTATTGTGGCCATAATTTTGACACACTAATGATCAGGCCTTGAGCTTAAATTCGGAGTTTGCAGATGGCAGAAAACTTGGAGGTATACTGATGAGCAAGGAGGATTGCAACATTTTTCAGAAGGGCATAGAGGTTGGTGGAATAAGCAGGTGCACAGCGGATGAAATTTAGTATAAGTTATACATTTTAGAAAGCAGAATGAGTAGAGGCAATCTAAACAAAATAGTAGAATTGTCATGGGGATGCAGGAACAGAGACATGTTGGGGTTCACAGACAGAAAGCTTTGAACATGGCAAAAATAGCCAATAGAACATTTAAATAAACTTGTATGAAATACTGGATTTTATAGTGTTCATGCCTCAACAGTATATATAGATGCGTGAATTACAAAAGCAAGGGATTTATGTTAAATCTTTTATAAACAGCTGGTAATGCCTATCTGAAAGAAAGTATTTAACATAACTCTTGGCAACATAATTTATAGATGGTGCAGAGGAGGTTTGTTAGAATGGTAACACGTAGAAAGAGCTTCAGTTATGTGAAGAATCTTGGGAATGTTAAGGTAGAGAGTTAAGAGGTGTTCAATACTATTGAGACTATATTGGCAGAAACTTTTACTCATTGTCAGAAAGATTAAATAACCAGAGAATGCAGATTAGGATAACTTGCAGTGAGCTCAGGACAGATGGGGATGAGTTTTTAATGTAGTAAGTCATGTTTTGTAATGCACTGCTGAAATATTAGTGATATTGGATTTGATATTTAATTCCCTTTAGAAAATTAATATTTCTGACAAAGCTTGCAGGACATGATATCTATATATTAGAAAATAGTATATTTGAAAGCTTAAAAATATCATTGAAATTATATACATCGTGGAAGCAGGCCATTCAGTCCATCAAATCCACACTTACCTCCAAAGAGCTTCCAACCCAGAACCACCCCTCTACTCTGTCCCTGAATCCCCAAATTTCCCATGCTAATCCACCTAGCCTGCATGTCTTTTGGACTGTGGGAGGAAACCAGAGCACCTAGAGGAAACCCATGCAGAAACAGGGAGAATGTGCAAACTCCATACAGACAGTCACGCGAGGGTGGAATCGAACCCGGGTCCCTGGAACTGTGAAGCATCAGCGCTAACCACTGAGCCATCATGCTGCACCGTATCACACCATTCAAAGGACAGATTCTTCTGGCTATTTGTAGAATATTTGCCACATGTAATTACTTTTTCCAACTTGAAGGAAAAATAAATCACAATTGATCTTGGTTTAACAGTGAACAGAGTGGGCGAGTATTGTGTGGAGTGATGCGAATTGGATTGGTTGCAAAGGGTTTGCTGATAAAGGGGGACCTGGATTTGGAGCTTGTACTGATGTGTAAAGAAAAGCCGACCGAGAAGTTATTACACACTGTCTATACCAATCTGCCAACACAAATAGAGGTGAGTTCAGAATACTCTGTTTTGCTTGATAGGTAAATGCTCCATTGTGTAAACTGCAGTTAAACATGACTGCATGTTTGAAATGTTGGATTTAGTTTATATAACACACTGATTATACATTTTGGCAAAAGTTATTAAAATTAAGATCTAATCCAGTAAAAATCCATCAACCTATTGTGGGTAGTTGAAGCAGACCCCATGGAATCTCATGACATCACGTCAAACATGGGCAAGGAAACCACCTGATTTACCCCTCTGTGTCTCCCTCTTTCACGTTCTCCCTCCCTTTCACTCATTGGCGGTCTCCCTCGTGCTCTCTTGCATGTGTGCTCTCTCATGCTTGTACTCTGTCTCTGCCGCGTGCACGTACTCTCGAGTGTGGGAACATGGGCCCTCTCTTCACAATATGCTGATGTATGTATAATCTGTTTTGAGTTTTATGTGCATATAAAGAGCCATATTTTGTTTCTTTAGATTAAATTAAATGTGTCGATGTTTTAAAATTTTGGCACCTTTAGAAACTTTCAGAAGAAAAATACGAAGTTGAGAAGTGTGCAGAAGAAGCAGCTATTACTGTTCAAAATACAAAAGAACCCAAGTTGACACTCAAGATTATTCTTAGTTCTCCAGTGGTGAGAGATGAAATGGAAAAGAAGGAAGATGGAGGTATATTGCCCAGCATTTTTCAGATACGTGTTACATGTTTTCTATATTGTTGCTTGCTTGTAAGACTTCTGTGGTCTTGCAGAGCAGGTTTGAACACGCCTTGAAAATAACTTCTGTGGTTTCAGCAGTCACTTACAGCAAAGCATGCAGACCATTTTAAAAATGAAAAGCAAAGAGTTCCTTTTCCAGAATTTCAAACATTTGTTATTTTACTTCTGATTTCTAAATAAATTGTTACCTATAGACTTATGATATTGAAATACAGCACCATCTTAAGTAAAACTGAGTATTCCGTATGTAAAGGTGTACAGTTCCATATCAGTAAATCTTATTTATATTTCACATATTTCACAGAACCTGTTCTGTCCATGTAAATGTTGTAAGACTTCCTGCATTTTTCAATAATCTATACAGTGTCAATTTGCCCCATCTCAGTGCTGTAAAATACAAACAATGCACAAACCAATACAAACAATAATGCATTTTAATTCAGAAGCATTCACCAATGTAGAACCAAACATTATACTGTCCAAATGTATTCATGTGTTTTGGAAGGGAATAGCATATAAGGAATAGCATATAGTTAACGTTTGTGCAGAATGTTAGAAGTATTTAATGGTACGAGCATAACAGCATATGTAGCCAATGCAGTTTTTTAAAACTAACTTGTTAAGCACAGATTACATTTTCTGACTCTAATTTAAAAATCTGTAATTTAGATGCACTGCTCTTATATCATATGTAACTTACAAGAATGGGACTTTGAATCCAAAGGTTATTTGATATTCAAACAGTCAGTATAAATATGATTGATTATCTTTAAATATGCCTTGAGTGCATTTATTTAAAATGCTTGAAACTTAGAACAGCACTGAGATTGGGAAAGAAAAACAGCTGGTAAGAATAAAGTAGTGTTAATTTGTTTTTATTGTTTACTTGTAGGCTTTTTTTTTGGTTTAGTCTCCAAAGCGTGTCAGTGGTAGTTTGTTGAGCCTTACTGGACAATGTCAGACCTTTGACCAACTGGCCGCTCTCTGTCATGGGAATGGAGGCAGCTGTGCCCACCTGGGCAGGAGGGGACTCCCTGTTGCTGTTCTCCCCATTTCTAGACTTGCTACAAGTCCCTTCAGTAATATTACTACTGTTCAGCAAGAAATTATGGTATAAAATAAGCTTAGAAACTCAGAACATATTTCCAAATAAACTCCATTAGTAAAAAAAAACTGATTTAAGTACACATTAGTTTCAAAGTTAATACCATCCAGAATTTCCTGCCTCACAGTATGCTATACAGTCACTAATCAGCACCCAAAGCAATGTGGGCTTTAGGAGCCTTACTCAGCTGTTTACATTTTGTCTTCTACGAATGATTCATGTGCATTCATGCCCTGCTCTCTGGGTTGGGGGAAATCTTGAGGTTGCTTGTGCTGTTGCATAATTTGAAAAGTTGAGATAAGCAGGTTGTTGACATTTACGACCATGTGACTTACAATTATAGGTTTGAAATTAATGCGTTGACAGCAACAAAAATTGAAGAAATTTGAGTTAAACTTTCAGTTAGTACTTGGGTTGACTGTTACCATTGCTTTGACTTCGCCAATATTTTAACATTTTAGCATTTTCTAAAAACCCAATATAGGGTCATACAGCACGGATATAAAGCTTCTTGAAATGTTTATTGGATTCATGCTGCTTGAAGTGTAGTTTGGGTGTCAGTAAAACTTTACATTGGCAGTGGGCATAATTTTCCCTGCTGAAAATCTTTCTGCCATAAATTCTGGATCTATTACGCAGGGAGTTATATGCTTTGCTGTCACCATAAACCATGGAGCACTTCTTTATTTGATGGTAAAACTAGCATGTTGGAAGCTTACATTAATTTCAAACTCAAGATTGTACAGGGCATGAAGTGAATACATGAGTGTTTTAAAAGGGACTTTGATGCAAGTCTATCCCATTCACTGCCTGCTCTTTGTCCCTTGCCCTTATCTTTTTTTCCTGTAGAACTTGCATGTAAAAGATGACTGACTGCAAAAAGAATGTATTGTTGTATTTCAATACAAGTTTGTAGAAGAGCTGTTTTAATGCAATGAACTGGATTGCAAGAACCTTTCAAAACAAACCAGAATTTTATAGTGGGAGCACTGCTAAGATTAACCATAGCCCTTGGACATCAAAACAAGCTGAAGCTATGTTTATAGTTTTGAAACAACATGGTAATAAGCCTTTTTTGAGGGAGGTGGGGGAAAGGACATGGCTAAGTGATGATGAAGTGAGTAAGATTTTTCAAATTGATATGTTTTGATACTGAATTGCATGGTTAGAAAAAAAAATTGCCCATGCAGACAGTCATCCTTTATGCTGTCTAATCCAATGTTTTAGACTATTAACCACCCATCTACAGCAGTTTATCTTTGTATCCCTTGTGTAAGAAATATTGTACTTTATAGCAGATGTTTTTGTTGCTTTAAAAGGCAGAAAACTCCAACTGTTTGAAAATATTTGAAATTATTATATTCTTTAAATTTCAGTAGGGGTTAACTGCCACATTGAGTTTCTGTTACATTTTAATGCCTTTGTTGCAGGTGTCTACCGGTAGTTTATTTCTAGCAGAATCTAAAGCCAACTGACAGTTTTGGTGAGAATTTCTCAGAAAACAAGAACTTCCACAAGTTGCACTTGCATAAGGCATTAAAATGATAAGGCCATACATAGCTAATTTCTGGTTCCCTGGGTCCTCAATGTTGATGTTATGTCGCAGCAATGAGTGAATTGCAAAACTAAAGTGGCATTTTTACATTACTTTGATAGTGTAAGCTCTTCATTTTGATCACAAGTTGAAATTATTATGAAGGGAAATACAAGCTGAAGAATTCAAAAGTTTGAGAGTAAGTCTTGTTTTCTCCTATTCATTATTTTAATATAGAACTACCCAAGAAACCAGAAATTAAGGAGGCCTGTCTAACAGTCAACAAAAGTATCTGCTGTGTGGTATAATCTGTTGTGGTCTGCATTTTAAATAAGACTCAGAATCATATACTCTGCAGTTGATATGCCATTGATTCGTATCCCGAATGAATGCCTTTTGCTTCTGTCTCACATGTTCACGTTACTGTAAATGGCTGTTGTAGTAACCACAATGCACTATTAAACCATTAAAATTTCTGGGAGCCTTGTTTGCCTAGGATGCTGCCACTCCCTAGTACTGAATGACAGAAACCCCTTGGTCAAACTGTATCTGTCTTCTTATTCCATTCACCAGTAGAAAATTTTGCGATGAAAGATCCACCGGACTTATTGGACAGGCAGAAATGCCTAAACGCCTTGGCGTCTCTGCGACATGCCAAATGGTTTCAGGTTGGCTACTTGTTCTTACCTTATTGTTATTGTAGCCTTATGAGGTTTTAATGTTAAAGCTGTTTGTTATATTGAAACACTTGATGCTATTCATTTGCTCTTTGTAGCTTTGGTACTCTGCGCACAGTTTAAGCTCAGTCGGTATACTACAATAGGTAGATAGTTTACTTTTACTCGTTATCATGAGGCTACAAAAGCAATCGTTAAACATTTATCCTTCTTGTTTGTATTTGAAATCGGTCATTCTAGAGATGGAGTTTGTTCTCTGTAAATTTTCATTTTTGTTTGCATGATAATTTAATTTAACTTTCTAAGTTACTGAAAAGTACCAAGGTACTACGTAATTTGCATCTGCAAAGCCAATGATAATTATATCCTATCACATGATATCACAACAATTCTGTATGTTTTAGGCAAGGGCAAATGGATTAAAGTCATGTGTAATTGTGATTCGTATTCTGCGTGATTTATGCAACAGAGTGCCCACATGGGGACCATTGAAAGGCTGGGTAAGTTTAAATATAGACTGTTCCCCTATCAAACAAAATGGCCCAAACACACTGAAACTTTTGAATAACATTATGGTTTAATTAAGTGTAGCAGTTTGACACAACAAGTATAGCTTTATATTCATGCAAACTTCTGAAGGATTTATTTTGGTGAAATCATAATTAACTTTATCTCTTGGCACTAACCAGGTGAATTTGAAGTAAGAACTTGGGATTATATTTATTTGGAAATAATCTTGAAAATCTTTCTTCACATTTGAAGGGTGTAATTTTGTGAAAATAAAGTCTCCATTACATGTTACCTTATGTGACTGATCTCTTGTTCCTTATTGTATTTAGCCCCTTGAACTTATTTGTGAAAAAGCCATAGGTACTAGTAATAGACCACTAGGGGCTGGTGAAGCCTTGAGACGTGTAATGGAGTGCTTGGCATCAGGAATTCTTCTCCCTGGTAAGATTCTCAATTAACAATTAACAAATATATTGCAATAGGTTGCTCATATTAGAATTTAGTATTTTGACATTTTTTCCAAAAGTTCTATATCAATTTTAATAGGCTAGATAATGTGGTGTGGTGTTCGGTTTTTGTATGAAGCTTTCCGAATTAGTGGTGACTGCCAAATTCTAGGATAGAATTGACTGAAATCAGCTAAAGTGCATAAGATTTAACATTATCCTTGATAAATTTCACCTGAAATTTATGTTCAGTTTATTAGAATAGTTATTAACTAAGCAGTTACTAAGTGCTGCACTTTGACAGAGAATTTATGCTACTACATGTATGCTGCTTGAAATGTAAAATCTTAGTTTATTTTCTTTGCAGGTGGTCCAGGATTACATGATCCTTGCGAAAAAGATCTAACTGATGTGTTAATCTCAATGACTCCTCAGGAAATGGACAACATTACTCATAGTGCCCAGGTATGGTTGATAATCAGGATAATGACCATTGAAAATTTTTGTTGGGTAAAATAGAATTGTAGTAAATCTTAGGAATTATTCTTCACATTATGAAACATTTGGCTTGTTTTTGAAAATAGGTACATTCAGATCACCTGTACCTGTAAACAGTAATTGCTTGTATGTAGTTATGTAAATTTAATGCGGAAGAAAATATATTTACGAATTTAGTATGTCTTTACAAAGTACGGAAAGTGATAATTATGAAAGCTTTTCATTTAAATGAAAGGATTTAACTGACTAAGTAAATGAGATGGGAGTCATAGAATCCTTGCAGTGTGGAAGCAGGCCATTCAGCCCATTGGTCCCAGTCCCAACCCCACCCCATCCCCACCTGTAACCTGTATTTCCCATGGTTAACCCCCCTAGCCTGCACATTCCTGGACACTATGGGCAATTTCACATGGCCAATCCACCTAACCTGCACATCTTTGGACTGTGGGAGGAAACCGGAGCATCCGGCAGAAACCCATATGGAGTATGACCTATATGGAATGTAATACCCTGCATGAATCTTTGGGCCAATGCTGTGTTTGTTTGCTGTGCATTCTGTTACGTGGACTAGGTATGATAAAACCTGGTGAGATTATCTCTATCTGTAAATATTGGGAAATGTATATATAAAAACTACACATAAGCCTCCCTCCCCATCTCCTTGTCAAAGCCTATCAACATGTACTTCCAGTCCTTTCCTCCTCATGTACTTTAGTATTAAACTTAAAATTGTTTCTTCTTTTCCTGTAACTTGTTGGGACTGTCAAATTCCCAAACAACAGAAAACCCAGATGAAACCTGCCTGGATTTGAATTGCCATTGGAGCTCTTGGAAGAGAAAAAAGGATCAGGGAGGAAAAAAATCCAGGCAATGGTGTGAATTAAACTTAGTGTTGTTTCTAAGCATCGATAGGTAGCCTGGCTGTGATTGGAAGCATACTGTGTGGAGAATCTTGGGAAAGTTCATACAACTTAGTAATCAGGAAGCATTAGTTATTCCTTCAAAGCTGTTATTAATAGACTATATCCCTGTGTAATGTGATGTCTATTTGACATTCTCCTCAGTTTTGATAGGCTGTTCAAATATAATGGCATTAAATATAATGGAACTTGATATTCACTTTGATATTCTGCTGGAAGTGCATATGGGCAATCAGAAACCAAAGTCCTAGCAATTCTTCCACCAATTGTGAGTGCAATTCTAGCTCATTTGCATATGTTATGCACATGACCAGTGATCACACTGAGCCATTCCTGGCTTGTACAGCTCACTTCATTCCCTGGGTAAATTGCTCAGCCATTTATGAAACTCTTCCATGTTAGCTAACTCAAAACCAGTCTAAAATCTTGCATAAACCTATGAAATTGTAACTAGTTTATTTGTATATCTTGTGCATGCAGCACGCACTTAGACTCATGGCCTTTGGTCAAATCTACAAAGTACTGGAGATGGACCCACTTCCATCAACAAGAACCTCCATTCAAAAATGGTCCAGATCTCTGAATGAGCGAGACGGTGAGCAAAAGTTCATTTTTTTGCAAGATGCAATTTGACATGCTGATCTGTGTTTTGCAAGTATTAACATTAGAAAACTGTCAGCATTCACTGTTGCCCGTCTGAGTTAATTTCTTGAGTCTGCAGACATGCAATTAAATGGGGAAACCAGAGTTGCTGTGATTGATTCTAATATTTTCTAATCGGCCTGTTCATAAATGCTATGATGCACCTCTGGAGCAGGTGAGTCTTGAACCTGGGCCTCCTGTTCAGAGGTAGGGACACTACCACTGCACCACCTTTGATTCTACACTTGTAGTGGAGGACCTGTTGGAAGTTTCCACACAATGCTGTCAAGAAAGAATTAATCAACTGACAACCTGACTGTTTTATGCTTTTACCTGATAAAAACAAATCCTGAAAAAGTTGCAACTTGTGGAATGAGGTGTAACTGAGGTTTTATAGCATACTAAACTTATGGTCACAGCTTAGTAGCCTCATTGACCATGCAAGGTTGATTTTATATTTATGGAATGTCATTTCCTCTGAAGTAAATTTAAATCACATTTGGGGTTAGATATACCAATTTCTATTTCAATGCCATGTTTATAATGTAATTATTTTCCTATTTGTAAAATATTAATTAACTGAAATATTAAGTGTGTTTGTTTTTCTTCTGATTTACTATCTGAGAATAATTAAATGTGATTGGCAGCTTACCCTGCTTAATAGCACGATTACTTGATGCCTGGAGATCATATTTCATATAAACTATGGAAAATTTAAGTTCAGTTTATTCAGCCACTGAGACAGCCCTCTCATTCAAGGAACAAATCTAGTGAATCTTTGTTGGACTGCCTCCTGAGGAACCATATCATTGTTTAAAAATTGAGAGCAAAACTCTGCACAATGCACCAGATGTGGTCTTGTCTTTAGTTCTGTATACTTATGGCATGACTTTCTTATCCTTGTACTCCAGTCCACTTGTAATAATGGCTAGCATGTTATTTGCCTTTTTACTGTCTTGCTGTACCTGGAATATTTTAATAATGGCTTGATGTTAAAAGTATTGGTCTCAGCCCCGTTCATATTGAATTTGAATGAATAATTTGAATAAAACTAAAACTGAATATTTGACTTGATGAAACTACCGACTGAAATCGGGGACTAAAAGGAAAGCTGAATACAGTGTAAAATTACAAAGATTGCATTTGCTTTTTTAGAGCAGATTTATGGCTCTGTGGAGCGAGGTCTCCAGCATCACCTTAGTGTGTGGCATAAGGCTGATGAAACATTCAATATCCAGTCAACCAAAGTTTAGACAACTGATCTGTGGAGAAAAATGTTTATCACTATAAGAACAGTTGTTGTCATCATTGTTAAACCCTCAAAACCAGGATGACATCATGGTGATTTGACTCATTAGCCCTATCCTAGATCAACCTTCTTTAGGAAGACAGGATAAGAGTTGCCAAGGAAACAGATCTCTCTCTCCGTTTATTATTGTCAGTTCTCCACAACAGTCTATATAGTCAGTTTTGGACTTGAGGTGCAGCTTGTTGGATAGGCATTGCCATGCAGTACAATTGCAGCAAGTTCCTCCAATGTACCAATTTTAGGGATCATTACATCCGCTAAGTGCATTTTATAAGATATTGCTATCTGCTTAGGAAGCCATGACTTTTTATTTTAAATAGACAAAATTAGAAATCTTTCTTACTCAGTAAAAGTTTAAAGCTTCAAGATTCCATGATTTTTAAGCAACTAAATTTTTTCACATACAAAAGTCACCAATTCAAACTGTTAATATTATGTACAATATATGCTAAAATCCAAAGTTAACATGCAGTAAATATGACTCAACAGGCAAACTGATTACAACAAAATGACCAGTACAACAGAACCTACAAAATCTCTAAGCAGTCCACCCAGACGTTAGTGATCATTGAGTCATTAAAGAAAAAAGTCCTGCGATCACTGTTTTTCTCTCAAGACACCTCGGCTTCTATCCTGGCTGCTGGTTTCCCTTTAAGAACAGCTCCAACTCAGCCTGAAGACCCTCTTGCTTCTTTGGCTACAAGAAATTTTCAGACAACAGAACTCCAACTGAGACTGCCCCAGTGATTGTTTCCTTAACAGCTGTTCAATCTCTTCTGTGATTGCATCCCACTGAAATTGATCAGGTTACACCTCAATATCTCATCATGTGAATGATCCCAACTATCTCTAGTATAAGTAAACCACTATTTTAGCTTGCCTGTGCTATCACTGCTTCCTAGCTGCACAAAGCAAATGACGACTGCTCTGCAGTTCTGACACCTGGACCGATCGGTGTCCAGTGAAATCTTTCACGCAGGTTCAGCCTCAGTTTTGAGGCAAGATCTGATGTATCTGTTGGTGCTTTCTACAGCTTAAATGTACGGCCCCCTCCAAGAATGCGTTAATATAGATCCCCTCATAAATAGCTTAAAAAAATAAGAATAGTAGGCCAATCAGTTCATTAAGCCTACTCCACTAATCAGTATGCTCATGTGTTCTATTTGTGACCTTAACTTGATATTCCTGACTGCCCCCTCCATACCATATGGTTGCTTTGTGAATTAAAAATCTGTCCAACTCACGTTTTGTTATGTTCTGTTATGCAGTTTCCACTGATCCCTGAAAGCGAATTCCAAACACTGACAACCCTCAGGAAATTTCTCTTTATCTCCATCTTAAATGGGGGACTTTTTATTAAACTGGCTAGTTGTTGATTCCGTTAGGGGAAACGCTTCCTCAGTATCTAACCCAGGAATATCTGAGATGCTGCAGTATATATAGTGCATAGCAAAAGTAAGTTTGTGGTTTTTACACTGTGGAGCTTGATAATTTTATTTGTGCATCAACTGATTACCTATCTGCTTGGTTCATCAATTATGACCAAGATCTAATTTGTTTTAGGGGAACTAAGAGGCTACTTAGGGTTGATGCAGTTTCTCCAAATTGATAACTGCTTGACTTATCACCTAATTAACAAGTCTTCTAGGTTATTTCAAGTTCATATCAACGAATAGGATGATAGTGGCTTTGTTGAGGTTGTAGTGGCAAATTGGTAATCTGTAGATCCAGGCTAATGCTCGTCAGGGCCATGAGTTCAAATCCTACCATGGCAGCTGGCAGGATTTAAGGACCCTTGTGGCACAATGGTAGTGTCCCTGCATTTGAGCCAGAAGATCAGGATTCAAGTCCTGTCTGTGCTGGCGTGTTGTAAAAGCTCTGAATGGGTTGCTTAAAACTAAACTGAACAGCAACAGGAAATATTGAACCTCTCTTGAAGTGTACTTTTTAAAGATTATTCAGTTGTAACGTCTGACAAAGTGTCTTGAGTGTTCTTAAAATTAATAATATATAAATAGAAATATTTTCCATGTTCTAATGTTAAGAAACAAAACTGTAGAGTTGTCTTATGGAGGTTCTGAAACAGCGAGCTAAAGTCATTGCTTAAGACTATTGCATGACCAAACATCAGTGATTAGCACTGATGGACTGACCTCTGTGGTCTCTCCTTAATTTTGGTACATTAATGAAAGACCACAACAGTTTGAGAATCTCCAAGATTATTGCTTCAGCATATCAAATCAGCCACTGCACAACATTTTCCTCAAACATTTTAAAATAAAGTACATACTTTCAAGAAGAACATAAAGATCACAAAAATAAAAGAATCTTTGGAATTCTTTACCCCCGAGGGCTGTGGGTGCTCAGTCTGAGTATGTTTGATGTAGACATTGGTGGTCAGAAAGCTATTAATAGCGCAAAGGATTATGAGCATAGTGTCAGTAAAAGGCATTGAAGCATTTGATCAGCCATGATCTTATTAAATGGTAGAGAAGGCTGGACAAGCTGAAAAGCCTACCCTCCTCCTTAAATCCTATCTAGAAGAATCATAATGGTCACATCCCATAGTGTTGCAGTACAAACCATAATTTTGTTGACAAGATCTTTCACTTAACAAAAAGTGAGGTAAAATGCTTCAGGTTTTTTTGCAGGTCCACTCTCAGTACCTTTGAAGAGACCATATGAAGATGGTATGGGAGACGACAAAGATCCAAATAAAAAGATGAAAAGGAACCTGAGAAAAAGTATGCTAATATATACATTTCTCCATCAATATACCATAGACAATAGAACACTTGGGCATGTTTCAACTTCTGTTTTTAATTATCTAGACTGTTGGATACCCAATGTGTAACTATCTCTTCCATGTGGATAAATCTAAAGCACAAGTTTCTAGTGATAATTCTATTACATTTATTTTAACAGTGAAGTAACATAAATCTACCAACACTCTTTCTGACATTTTTATTCAAAACAGCTTGGGTTTTCTGTAACCACAAGTTACTATCCTTTGTTAATACTTATACTGAAGGTGGAGTTTAGAATATGAATTCTTTTTTAACCTTGAAGAATAAGAATACTTAAGAATATGATGCTTTATGCCTAGTTTCTCAGTGTGAAGGACATTATTATGGTCTTAATTTTAATATAGATTAACTACCCAATGTGAAACAATGCGACATGTATTATATGATCAATCGAAAGCCATTAGCCCCAACAAACCAGTCTTTTTGATCAATATCAACACTCAGCTTTCTCGTCAAAGTCCTCAGTGCATTTTCTCAGAAAAATATCCAAATATCCTTTTGAATTGATTTATGTTACTGACCTCAGGAGACTTACATGTGAAATCGTTTTCCTTGCATCCATTGTTAAGTTCTATTTTTAACTGTCCTCTCAGTTTTTGAACTTTGAGTAAGCAATACCATTTTGTTTGGACCACTTTTTGCTATCATCGAAAGATTCTGAAAAGCCTTGTTGAGTTATTTCTAAATGAATTCTTTTGCAATAAGAGTAAGTGACATGATATCTATCTTTCCTCAACTTTCTGACATGTAATATTACCTCTGTTGCCCTCCATGGCACCTACTCAAGGCTGTCAATATCATCATACGAAAACCAATGCACGTTTCCTCAGTGCATTCAGTTTACTTGCATTCAAGCTTGTCAACATTGTATAGAAATATAAATGTATTCAAGTCCTGGATTTTTACATCTGCATACTTTTATGTCACAACAGATTTCAGTGAAGTGCCATGGTAAGTATGTCAAAAAGAACAGTGGTTTTTTTTATTTCACCAAGGAAAACAACTGCAGATTCTGTCTTTACAAATAGCAGGATAGCACAAGTGAATATTTGACAACAGTGAAAATACTCAATCAGGGATTTACTGCATGCTTTTTAAAATGGAATGAAATATTTTGAGAAATTGTCGGACATACTTTCTAAATGATATAATAAATGTTCAAAATGCATTTGAGGTCCCAAATATTAGACTTGTAAACAGCAAGACCCATGGTGACGTGACAGCCTAGATAAAAGGACAGAAAGCAAAAACAAAAGAACAAGTTCATGTTTTCTTTGGATAGTCAGAATGTAGTCCATGGTATGTTCTATTCATCTGAGTTGGAGCTTTTTCTGATTTTCCATAAATGTGAATGAGCTGGATGTTGGTAGAGAGGGAATTGTATCCAAAGAATACAGGAAACTGGAGGAAAGATGTGGATGCATAAGAAAAGATTGATAATTAAGGGAACTGGGTAGAGTGGCAAATGCAATTCATAGTGTCATCACAACACAGGAGACCATCATATAAATGAACAATGGGTGGAAGCTGGTAAATGGTAAAATTTTTGATTTGATGTACAGGCACAGAATTATGCAGATATGTGGCTTATTAAAAGCAATACTGCAGATGGAAACAGTTTCAAAAAGTCAAAGATTCTGTACTAAATATGTGGGACTTGGATTACAGAAGAAGTAACAATAGAGAAAATAGTCTGTACTGACTTGAATGTAGGAAGGTTGATCAATAACTTTGCAGATGAGACAAAAATTGGTGGGGTAGTAAGCAGTGAGGAGGGTAGCCTTAGTTTATAGAGGAATATAAATGGGCTGGTCAAATGAGCTGATCGGTATTAGATGGAATTCAATCCAGTGAAGGTGAGGTGATGCACCTGGGCAGGACAAACCAGGCCAGGGATTTTATGATTCACAGTAGGATCCTGGGAAACACTGAGGATCGGAAGAACCTTGGAATGCATGTGTACCCATCCCTTAAAGCATCAGGACTTGTAGGTAAAGTGGTTAAGAAAGCATTTTGGATACTTGTTTTTATTGGCTGATACATAGAGTTTAAGAGCCGGGTGGTTATGCTAGAACTGTATAAAAAGCTGGCTAGCCACAGTATTGTGTGCAGTTCTGGAAACCACGTTATCAGAAGAATGTGACAGTTCTAGAGAGGTTGCAGAGAAGATTTACCAGAATATTGGTCTGCGTTGGAGTGTTTCAGTAATGAAGGGAGATTGAACAGACTGGTTTGTTTTCATTGGAGCAGAGGAGGTTGACAGGGGACATGATAGTGATGTATAAAATTATGAGGGGCGTATATAGGATAGACAGGAAGAAACTTTTCCCCTTGATAGACGGATCAATAACCAGAGAGTATAGACTTAAGGTAAGGAGCAAGAGGATTTTAAGAGGATATGCGAGAAAAAACTTTTTCACCCAGAGTGAGGGGAGGCAATGTCCTAGTGGTATTATCGCTGGACTGTTAATCCAGAGACCCAGATAATGCTCTGGGGATATGGGTTCGAATCCCACTACGGCAGATGGCGGAATTTGAATTCAATGAATCTCTGGAATTAAAAATCTAATGGTGACCATGAATCCATTGTCAATTGTCAGCGGGGAAAAAAAACCCCATCTGGTTCACTGATGTCCTTTAGAGAAGGAAACTGCCGTCCTTACCTGGTCTGGCCTACGTGTGACTCCAGACCCACAGCAATGTGGTTGCTCTAAATTGCCTTCTGGGCAATTAGGGATGGGCAATAAATGCTGCTTGGTCAGCAATGCCCTCATCCCGTTTAATGAATAAAAAATAAACCTGGAACTCTCTGCCTGTAAGGATGTAAAAAGGTAAAAACCCACAAGTGTTATTAAGTGTTTAGATGTGTGCTTGCGCTGCCAAGGCAAACAAGGCTATGAGCCAAGTGCTAAAAAATGGGATTGGAATAGTTAGTTGTTTTTGAGTGGTGATGGATTGAATAATTTCCATGCTCTAGATCTCTCTGAATCTGTGATTTTGTGGTGAACAGAGGGACCTTTTGCCTGCATGTTCACTGGTCCCTTAAATCAGTGGGACATTTAAATAGAGTGGTTAAGAAGGCATTTGAATACTTGCCTTTATTGTCAGAGGCTTAGAGTTTAAGAGCAGGGAGTTGATTCTGGAACTGTATAAAGAGTAGCTGTGGCCTAGCCAAACAGTATTGAATGCGCTTCCTGAATTCACATTATAGGAGAGACATTACAGGTTATGGTGATTGTGTGGCGAAATGGAGCTGAGTCCACAGAGGGATCATGGCTGATCTTAATGGCGGAGCAGGCTCAAGGGACAAGATGACTTACTCCTGCTCCTATTTCTTATGTTCTTATGATGTGGTTGTTCTGGAGAGAGTTCAGAGGAGATTTACCAGGATGTTGCCTGGGCTGGAGAGTTTCAGTTATGAAGAGAGATTGGATAGACTGGAATTGTTTTCATTAGAGCAAAGGAGACTGAGGGGGACATGATTGAGCTGTATAAAATTGAGAGGCATAGACAAGAGTGGGAGATGGGAGGAAACTTTTTCCCTTGGTGGAGGGATTAGTAACTGCCCCAGACTTGATGGGCTGAAAGGCCTTTTTCTGTGCTGTAGACCTCGATAACTCTGATCAGTGCACGTCACCCTATAAATTATATTAGTTGCATGAAAAGATGAAATTTATTTGATTTATTCAAATGATGCAAGTGTTGAGAGGGTATGAAATAGCTAGACAAACTTTGGCTATATTCTCTGGAATACAGTTTAGGGTGAGATTATTGAAATGTTGAAAACAATTGAGTGCATTGAAAGATTATTTCCAATGGTTAAAGGATCACAATGCAGGCCATACATTGAAGCTTTGTTCAAACAAAATTATTGGAATCTGGAAGAGATCATTAAAACATCTGTCACTTTTGAAACTGAAACATTCAATATTTAAGAGTAAAATTATTTATAGTTCTTAAAGGTTTAAATGATTATGTATTAAAAGGATAGATGTAAAGAACAAGATAATGAGATTATAGTTGGTGCTAATACCTTCAAAGGCATGAGTAAAATAGCCTCCCTCCATGCTTCCATTTCTATTTCTAAACTTGAATGGTGAATGGAGCATTTAGAACTGTATTTTTGAGTTAGGCTAAAATATTGGTAGTTGCAGGTTTGGCATTAGCTAGCAACATTGGGAGCTACTTAAGATAGCAAATTAAGAGTCTTAAGCAACCCTAAAGCATGTTGACAAAGTGTTGGTTTTTTCTATGGAATGTTGGTATTTGCAAAAAAACTTGTTTATTTTTAGTTTTCAAACTGAAAGAGAGAGAGAGAGATCTCAATGCACAATAACTTGCATCTATAAAGCATTATTTAGCATGGTAAAAGAAGATTCAAGCTTGGGGCCAAAATAACTGAAGTTGCGCCAATAACAGTGTATTAAAAGAAAAGACGTGATCCAAAGGAAACCAGAATAAGACCAGTGGGCAAGTTTCGAGGTTTTCAAAAGTGTAGAGGGAACAAGACTTTGTAGATGAGATTTGGAATTCAGTGAGTTCTGGAGATGGAGTGGGAAGCGATAGAGTTTGACAAGGAGAAGCATAATGTGGGAATAAGGCAGGTGAGAGAACGTAGCACTGACTATGCTACCTAGCCGGTGACGAAACGTTTGCAACCAAACCCACGGGCTCGGTGAGCATGTCTACAACCTTATCCGCAACTCGCTACAAATCTTCTCAAACTTTAAACATAGAGTCCTACAGCACGGAAACAGACCCTTGGGTCCAACTCGTACATGCCAGGCTGATGCCGTCCCAGGGTCTAAATTTCTCAAAATTATTGAGATAGGTATGAAATAAAGACTGATATGGAAGAAAACCACTTGACATTTTAGAATATTGAATTGAACTTCAGCTCCTAGCTTAAACAGGATGTTGATATAATTCTTAAGGAGTGATGGGGTGGTGGATGAAATCAGGAGCGAATTGCAGAGTTTGCAATAGAAATTCATCAGGCTTGTAGATTTCCCATTTAAATTGAGCTGCATTCTAGCTTGTACATGATGTCAAATGGCTCACTGGTAACATGTAGTTCAGGGTGTGGTAAGGGAACTAAAGTCATGGCAGAGCAGGCTTTAGGGGCTTTACTTCTGTTCCTATTTCATATGTCTGCATGTAACCAAAATAGAAAGTAGAAGAAAAGGGGGCCAGAGCTTTAAAGATTATAATGATTTTGAAAGGTTGCATAGGAAATTATGTTAGAGATAAACCTTCTAAGATGTGCACCATTAATGGTGGAGCAAAATGATTGGATATCAATTTGTTACCCATTATCAGAGGTGAGAAAGATATGTGAGATTGTGTG